AGTTATTGGCTGGAGTGTTTATTCTATATTTATATATCTTCTGTCTGATTTTGATGAACTCTGCTTCTATGTTTGTGGCTTGAATTAGATTGCTGGGGGCTTATGTGATAACTTGCTTACGTGCATTGTTCGGGCATGGGACTACAGTAAGCCGATGTTTGTGGCTCCAGCCATGAACACCTTCATGTGGAACAATCCTTTCACCGAACGACACCTAATGGCCATTGATGATCTTGGAATTTCTCTTATTCCACCAGTGAGAAAGAGGCTTGCTTGTGGGGATTATGGAAATGGGGCAATGGCCGAGCCTTCACTGATATATTCAACCGTAAGGATTTTCTTCGAAACTCGAGAACAGTCGAGTGGTGCCAGTGTTTAGTAAAAATGATCAAATTTGAACTTTGTTCCATTATATTGATACTTGTTTGCTAGTAGAGATGATGATTCTGTGAATTTTTTAGCTTTGGAGTGTGTGGTTATGCCAAAGATTCATTACTAATATTCTGTAACCTTCGTCTTTTATTTCAGTTTATTTTTTATTTTTTTGGTTTTACATTGATCTAGTAGTCTACTAGTGTCTTTAGAAATTGGCACTTACGTTTGGGAAAATATGTCTTCATAGTTTACTTTCTTATCTTAAGTTTCAATTTTTATATTTCATAAACATACGCATTAATTTCTGGTGGTTGACAATTATTTATGTAAATTTAAATTTATGGTGTATTAGTATTCTAAAGTTTATAAAGCAATTATTTAATTTAAATTATAAAATACATTTTGAAACTTAATGATATAATTTATGAAACACTTATCTAATGTTAAATTTTATTTGTTTACCAATTTTTTATATGTGAAATATCGAAATAATTTCTTTTATGATATTTTATTTACATTTATTTGTATATATAAATAAATTTAATTAAATTTGTAAATAAAATTAAATTATGTATGAATCCGAATAAAACAGGTTTAAAATTATTATTTTTCAGTTAAATTTATCATCAATCTATTATATGATATGAATTTAAAAGATATTATAATAAGACGAGCGAGTTTTAAAGATGACAGATATCATTTCAAATAAAATTAGTATTTCATTTTACTAATAATATTAAAATTTGAAATAAAAAATTTTATATAGCATTTGTTTTAAAAATTATTTTAAGAAAAATAAGTATAAAATTCTCAATTAACACACTATAAATATCTCACAAAAATTTCGTCTTCGGCATATCGGGTGGCCAAATAGTCCACTGGACCTTATCGTACCTCCAAAGGCCCAAGAAATGGGACTGCTATAAATTCAAAAGGTCCTTCAAACAAGAGCCGAGTAGCCGAAGGAAAATTTCAAGAAATTTGCACGGACCATAACCCTAATTCGAAGATGATTATTCCCGTTCGCTGCTTCACTTGTGGCAAGGTAATAATCAATTTCAATTCAAATCATGCATCAATAGTTTCATCTCTATGATTCAATACTTGAATTCCTTTANTTTTTTCCTTCACTTGTCAGCTCCAGAATTTTGTCCTGTTTTGTATCTTTGTTTTCACTCCAAATATGTTCAGGTGATTGGAAACAAATGGGACACGTATCTTGATTTACTTCAGGCCGACTACAGTGAAGGGTACGTGTTTTATGTACGTGAAATGAGATTGTTGTGTGCCGCTAGTTATTTTTTGAATTAACATTCCGTAGACTTAAGCTGAATTGTGCGGCATTATGCACGGCTTTATGATTGTAAAGCGAAAGTCTTTTGGTGGGTTTAGCTGGGTCACATATTCGTGGATGTTAGTTATAGATTTTAGAACTTCTGTACGAGTTTTCAGATATGTTGATGGTTGTAGGATGATTGAAGTGTCAATTGAACTTAAAGTTTAGGAGGGATATCATTGCTTGCTTCTCCGAGTACCCTTATTTATTCTGCACGAAAACTTCCAAAATGTAACTATGTTGATTTGCTTCAGGCTGATTACAGTGAAGGTTAATTATTTTTTATACGTGAAATGGAATAATTGTGTACCCCTAGTTAATTTTTTAATGTACATTTTGTGAACCTAAGCAGACTTACGCATCATTATATACGGGTTTATGATTTAAATTGAAATTCTTTTGGTGGGTTTAGGTGGGACTCAAATTTGTGGATGTTAGTAGTAGATTTTAGAATCTATATACGAATTCAAGTGTTAATTGCACCTAAAATGTTGGTGGGATGTAGTTGCTTGCTTCTCCCAAGAACCCTTTTCATTCTGCACGAAAAAAGTTGGACATGTAGCTATGGTGTGAATGAAATTTATTTAAGCTGATCACTATTTTGTGAAAAATTGCCCTGATAAAGATTCTGGAGAGTAGTAAGTATATTCATGCATTGATTAGTCTCGTTTTCGGAATAAATTTGGAGTTTTGATTTGTCTTTTGTATTATTCTATAGGGATGCCCTTGATGCTTTGGGTTTGGTTCGTTATTGCTGCCGAAGAATGCTGATGACCCACGTCGATCTCATCGAGAAGCTTCTGAACTATAACAGTATTTCTCTCCCCTCTCTCATTTCTCAATATATTTATTTGTGTCGTTTTCTTATTGTGGAACAGACTCAATCATCTATGAACTTTATAACAGCCGTATATGAATTGCTTTAGAATTCATATTCGAAACAAGGGCAAAGAGTAATATCTCAGTAAAGAATGATGTACTGTAATAGGTCGGTTTTGTTGTTCTTCAGTACAAAGTTTTGCTCACTGTTTTTTCTCTCTTTTTTTCCCCAGCATTGGAGAAATCTGAGGGCAGTTGATGCTACTTGGAAAAGGTCCAAGTTACACTTAGTGCGCCTCGGTTATGAGATCAGTAGTGTCGTGTTGTCTGTGAATTGTTTTAAGGAACTATGAATTTTCATGAGAGATGGTATAGCCTTATAGTGCTTTTCGAACAATGCTACTAATTCTAAGAAGAGATTTGAAATGAATGATCTGGCTAATGTTTTCTTCTTCTGGTTTACATCTGTTACTTCTGGAACTAGAATGAAGTCGAAAATTCGATATTCAAGACAACTTTAACCTAAAAGAAACATTCATGTTGTTGGCTGCCGAACGTTTGGATTCTTGTTGAAATGTAAGCGTGTTTGAATACAAATATATCCGTTCAAAATGAGTTTTTTTTGTTAAACCTGATTAATTCTGAAAAAAATTGTCATTGTTAGTTGTTAGTGGAATTTTGAGTTTATATTAAAATAAAATAATTAAAAATTAATTTAATGTAAAATTATGAGAGAGATTATATGAAGTAATGAATAGTTAAAATTATATGAATAAATAAATAGAAATTTCAAATTGAGATTGAATTAAAATTGATTTAAATTTTGAGTACGATAAACAAACACACTCTAAAGCCCCATTCATTGTGAACAAATCATTCTACATTTACTACAGGGTAACAGGCAATACAAAGAGCCAAACCTTTTCTTACACCTGGTAAATTATTCTAAAAGAGACAGTAAACCTATCTCAATTTTTACTTTGCAACCACCACCATGAAGGTGAAAGTCATTTCGGAACCTTAGCCGGCAAAACTTTTTTAAACTTCCTCTTGAAGAGAAAACCGAAAGCGGCCCCAACAATCGGCCAGCTCGAAATAACAGCTATATAAGCAAGCAGCCAAACCGACTTATTACTCTGTCGAGAAATCTGATAAAAGCACCTCTCAATAAAACCCGAACTGCTCTTAGAGTAACCCCCATTTTCAGATGGATGGAAATCGGGCTTCCTACTGATGCTTGTGGGCCCAGATTCATTTTCTGCAGCCGATACAATCTGGCCCACATGATCATCATCAACATCATCATCATGACTGTTTTTCTCTGCAACGCCTTCCGTTAGATCGTTTCCCATAGCTGCCACCATGCCATCAGCTACATTTAGATACGGGCCTTGATCGATCGAGGATTGGGTCGGTGGAGAATGGGGGCCCGCATTTTCAGCCTGCTATTCAAGAAAACGCCTATTAATAATATGGGATATATAATGTTGCAAACAGAAAATATAAAAGTAACAAAATTAAATTGTACCTTCTGTGTATGCATGAGGGAGCTTGAGAGCAAGGCACCAAGATATTCATTAACAGCTCTCACCCACCTAAAAGATGGCATAATTTTGATTTATTATTTATTTGGCTTTCTTTTTTTTTTTTCTTCTTGAAATGGAATATTTCAACTTGAAGATGCTACATATGAATGAAAAATGAACCGCTGTTTTAATATCCCTAAGGAGCTAGCACGGCACGAAGGAAGATATTTTGTAAAGTTATGGTGCGTAACAAGTAAAATAACACGAGTTCACTTCAACTGAATTACAGTGCAAAAGTAAGAGATTTAAACCCAATATAAAGTACGACAAAACAGTATTATGTCGGGCGAAGTACACTGAAAATTTTGAAAAACACAATTTGGAAAATGAAGTACCAAAGGCGAGATCCTGATATGCCTTCAAAAAACGCCAGATGTCCGCCATGTTGTGTAGTAGCTAGGACTACATTTTTGTTTGCTCTGCAATCAGAAAACATACAACATAGCCTTTTAGTCCCAAGCAAGTTGGGGTAGGCTTGCAATCAGAAAACATAAAAGAACATAAATTAAAAAAAAAATAAAAAATTGTAACAGGCTGAGGTGAATCGGAACTTGACTGTGCTTGCAAAATCTGAATCTAAAAGTTCATTGCAGAAATCCTTAAATACAGAGACAACAGACGAATAATAATAATAATGGTAATAATTTAGAAAAATGTACCGGCATTCATCCCAAGGAATGGCTTCTCGGGTGCAAACTGGATCATCCAATGCACTAATGCAGAGCAATGGAACAGAAACTTGACCAATAAAAGCCGAACTGCTACACCGTCTATAGTATGTATCAACAGTCTTGGAGAACGAAAAATGAAAAATTAAGTTATAATATTTAGATAGTTATAATATTTAGATAACATTTGTGTGTACAGAATTAGCATGGGCAAAAGTGTGTACGTGTGTGTGTGTGTGTGTGTGTGTGTGTGTGAGAGAGAGAGAGAGAGAGAGAGAGAGAGAGAGAGAGAGAAGCACCTCATAGTTCCCAACTAGACAAGTGGCATGGGTGTCGAAATCCCGAATAGAACGTGACTGCATAAAGTAGAACCACATAAAAAAATGTTTGGCACAATGGAGCAAGATTTCTTTCCATATTCTCGATGCCAATTGATACATATTCACTATGCAAATTGTTATGTATCGGGAAATATTTAAGAGGAAAGCCCGATGATATTACATAGGATTTTGATATTGAGACCCCTGCTCAAACCTTCAGCACAGTAAAATGGACTGAATTTTGATACAAATGAAAGAATTGATTTTGAGAATACAATAATTTTTGAGCTTCAGAGTAGAAGGCTAGAAATTTTGCTGAAGATTGATTGAAACCTGGAATTCCATCAATTTTGTACATAATACTGCAATCATGGAATATTAATGCAGATGAACCATGTAAAAGGAAAAATTAGAAATTAACAAAATTGATTAATGTTCATAGCGAGAAAGGGAAAAAGAAAAATGAAGTGGCGCAAAAGGTAATAGCAGTTTAGCTATTAGTCTCCCTTTGATCAACATAATTGAATATTAAAAAAAACCCAACCTTTTTAATACCTTCCCAGTTAGCAAGGCGAGAATAGCGGGTTTCATGGCTGCATTGAGGAATCAAGTGAAGTTAAAATGATCGTAATTTTTTTCATAGACGTCCAAAAGAAAACAGAACAATAAAAAAAAAAAAAGCTTTCAAATAGCAATAAGTATCATTCAGCCCAAGCAATCCTAAAGGTTTCTGATTGCCTAAAGCTATTTCCCTAATTTTTCACTCAAGTCAAAGAAATAGATAAACAATGTTAAGAAGGCAAATGCAACATACAGCTGTGCATAACCTTGAAGACCAATAGTAAGAGCTCTGTCATATAACTTCTGGATTAGCCTTCGAGATATGAACCTGGAACCAATCTGGATTGTGGAAATAAAAGACCAAAAAAAAAATTAAACGGGCGAAAAAGAAAATGTTGGCCCAGATAAAATTCAAATAAAATCGAAGAAAATCTCAAAACCAATGAAAGAAAAATCCATGTTAAACTTACCAAAAGATCCCAAGGACAGCAAACTGCAGCAGCACCTGCAATTGGGACATTCTCCCCATCTTCTCCAAGATATTTTACCTAAACATTAACAAATTTAAAGAAGTATACCTTTTATCAACCTTACGCTTTTTTTTTATTTTGTGTGTGAAACAGATAAAATAAAAAATTACCAAAATGTTAGCACCAATACTAGTTCCCACAACAAACAAAGGAGCTTCTGAATACTCATGATGTAGGTGGTTAATGACTCGGCGGGCATCTTCGGTCCATCCAGCATTGTAAAAGCAATCAGACTGCAAAATACTCTTTAATTTTCATGATAAATATATATATCAACTAAAATTACGATTGCCCAAGAGTTTTGGAGGAACAGGAAAATGAAACAAAATTAAATTAAGAAAGTTTGAAACAAATATTCCTTATATATATTTGCATGTAAGTGTCCAAAACCTTTTGTACTTACAGTAACCGAGACACCGCCAAGACCCCGGTGATTGCTGACCACCACATTCCATCCATTTTTGGCAGTATCAAAGACAAGGTNGAGAAGATGAAATAAAATTAATAAGTTACATACCATTACAAAGAAAGTCGATATAGATTTTCTGTGGTCAAATATCACCACACATTTGGCTAAGCATTCCCAATGCATGATATATAGACAAGCAATGGAGAATAATGACCATGAGCAGGTAAAGCTCCAATAAAAGAAAATGTTATTCATAAGAAAATTATATTCATAGGATCAAAGAACGTATGCACCAGAGCACATTCATGCAAAAAATGGTAGCAAAAAACACATTCTTACAGGAGAAGCTGAATCACTTGTTAGCCCTGGGATCATCACCACAATAGGAGTTTTATCATCCTTGGCGATTGCGTGATTATTCGGAGAAGCTACTCCATGCACAACTGCAGATAAAGAAAGAAACGGTTAAGAAATCAGTTCACAAAATTGAATTTGGAGGCAGAAGAATGAATTTTTTAATCCAAAGGGACACTCAAAAGCCAAAACCATATATTATATCAAACGAAAAAATATGAACTTATATGAGGTAAGCTGGAGTATGGTAAAACTACATATGGGACTCTCCCTGTCTCCAATAAACACATGCATAAAGAAGTACGTAATGGATAAAATACTATCAATTTGCATTGCTCTCAATTACATAACTTTGTGTTGTGGTAATTTAGCTCATTTGGCTAATTAAAAAAAATAGTCACATGCTAAGATAAATGTGGTACTTCGATTATCTGATAGATCATGTAAACTACAACACTCACAAATTAGATAATGTTTTTGACAGCTAATTTAACAGACAATATATCAAACATGTCAGAGCAGAGCAATTTACAGCGAAAAGCTAACAACCAGGCAAATAATTCATGGGTGTTTGCTAAAATCTACAAATGCATGCCTCTGTACTGTGTATTATTGCTAAATGCTTCAGCCTAAATGAAAACACTTTTGGTAAAATTTATTACCATCAGAATGTAATAGCCAATCCAGAGCAAACGTCCCACCATCAGGTGCATGAAACATCTGCCTGACAACCATAAATACACATCAAAACAGATAAAGTTACCAATTATGCATCTATCCTCGCAAAGCCATGAACAGAAAACACACCAGCTCAAAATTCTGGAATACTCTGTACTTAACATATATATCTACAAAGTGGCGAAACATAACCATATATAGTACCCATACAGTCTACAGATGCAAGTAATATTTATGACTGAAAATGATTCATGTTATTGAAAATATATATATATATATATAATATTCGAGAAAAAAAGCTCACCTTCTATAGGTAAACACTGGTGGCCTCCCTAAAAAGTTTACAAATGACGTTTGGAAATGTGGGCTCGAGAGCCAGGGAGTAGCCAGGTACCTGTTTGGTCTCAATATCAGATAAAACAGACAAAGCATAATAGCAAAATGTTACCTGAATAAACCTGTTATGTCAAAAACCAGGAAAAAAAATTAATAAAAGCATGATAAAGTTGTTTCAGGTAACCATAAGCAACCATACTCCACGAGCACGCAAGCAAGAACATAAAGGCAAATTACAACAAACCCACCAATACAACAAATTTCTTGATGACTCAAATTTTCTCCATAGTGGGAGAGAAAAAGATTTCAGAAGCACAGTGAAACACAACACTCAATTTCACCTTTTATGATGTTTCTCAACTCAACATCTATCAAGATTACATTTTTATTTTTTACACACCTAGATTCTAATAACATACTCAAAAACAAAAAGGAAAAAAAAAACAATA